ATGCTTAAGGAGAAGGGGGAGGACCGAAATCACTTTATCTCATTCTTGTAAGAATTCTCTGTTCTGCAGAAACATGCTTGCGTGTCGAGGTGGAATCAGGACCTAACATTTCGCATGGAGACCGCTTGTTTGCGTGGTCCACTAAATTATAACCAGGGAGTTAGGGACATTCCAAGCGGTCTATGTCACTGTCAGCGATCATACAGGGGGGAATCTGCATCACTGCTTGCTCTGGAATCCTGTTTTATTATCCATAAAGTCGGAACTGAGAGAAAACCATGGAATGGAAATTTGGCCCAATGGATTTTGTGTGTTCCAGAAATTCAATAAGCTTAGTATCTAGGACTGAGGCAGAATTTATATTTTCGAAATTACTAAGATAAACCACGCACTAAATAGTGGAAATTTCAACGAAATGCGTCATGAAATTTGCCAGCCTCGCCACAGAATGTGTTTGGTAACGATGTATAATAGTAATACACTAGAGATTATTATTGGCATTCAACACCGTGGGTCAGCTTACCGTCTTGGGATTTCTCCTTATACTTTCATAACAAAACATTCTTTGGGATTCTCATTTTATTCGTCTTTAAAACGTTTCCATAATCGTAATTGTAGATTTCCATTCTTAGAATTTATATTTAAGGCTTCTCTGTCTTTAAATTTTTTGTTGTTATTGAAAAAATTTGTTGACGAATCTGAATGTTCAGAGACGTGAAGGATACATTTATAATACTCAGCGCAGTGACAGAGGTGGACGACCGGTGTTCGTATTTCAACAGTGGCCCCACCGAGTCTAGGCCGGCGCAGGTGATAACTCATTCTCATCTATCCCTAGCTGTTCCCCGGGGGAAAATCCGGTCGGAGCGTGAGGTTTATAATTCGTCTCTAGCCTATCTGGCGCTGAGGCCACTTTACCTATGACTTTTACAGGCAATATTATTAGTGACGGGGATTTTACGTACAGAGGAATGAAAGAAAGAAAGCATTTTTAATTTGATTATTCACTGATGGGAGTTTTATATTCTGGTAAAGAGCTCGCGTCTTGAATGTTTCGCGTCTTGAGCTGCTCCTAATTTCTTGTATATAGAAAATAAAATACAAGAAGTAGATTCCATACCCAGTTAAAGTTGAAAAGTGGTGAAATTTTAAAACAGAAATTTTTGGTCTGTTTTCAATTTTTTTAACTACTCATTCTCTTCACTTTCTTATGTCAATTTGATGTCCTCTATTCCCTTTGTTTTAATCCCAAACGTAAAAATAAAAACTTTTTTTTTCTCCTAATTTCTTCCTTCGGAAGACGAAATGGTTTATAACTTTTCGATAAAAGGTTCTATATTTTAGTAAAAAAACAACATGTACGGTACTTTTGCTGTGTTACACTTGGGGGGGAGGGGGAAGGGGGTAGAAGTGAGTAGTAATTATGCAAATTGAACTCTCTGACTTTGAGTGGTCTGAAGTTTTCCTTCAGTCTAGCTTCCCCCTTCCTCATCACTCATCATTAAGGAGAAAACGGAATGAATACGTTCTTCGCTCATTTCTCAAGTGCAAAACAAACATGAAGGGTTTCCATCGGGATATTAGCAGCGTACTACGCCCCCCCCCGCCCCCCTGCACGTGTTTCGGCGCTGTAAAATTTGATTTAAGCTCTTAGAAAAACAAACAACGTAACTGGGTATCACATCTACGGTATGGAATCAATGACGTCTCTGTTTGTAAGTCTATGACGTGTTTTCGCAACACGCGTGCGTAAAGATGGGTTATATAGAGCACCTTCTTGTGTTGGTCTTCGTCGATTTGGTTACAGGGTTAATAAGATGGTAAAGTTGAGTCATATTGTGATATAATAAGTATATATTAAATCTTGTCCGTCTAATCACAATAAATTCTTATTAAATATTAAAATATTACAATAATTAACATTTAAAATATTAAGTGATGTTCTTTATCGAAATATTCGATTTACATTAGACCATCATTTT